GGAAAACATTGCCCGCAGCAGGGCTGGAGTGGTGCTGGGAGGAGTGCCGTGCCGTGCCGTGCCGAGCTGGGCTGGGTCGGGCTGGGATGCTCGGCCGTCCCGGCCTCACCGCCCGCTCTTCCCCGGGGTGACCCCTTCACCTCTCGGCAGCTCTCGGGCTGCCTTCCCGTGCCGGTACCGCTGCTTCCTGCCAGGTGTGCTCAGCCTGGCTCCCTGCCTGGGAAGCCCTGGCCATCCTGCCCCTGCCTGCTCCACGGGCGGGCTGGCAGCACCTCCAGCTCTCCTTGCTGCTGCTGCGTGTCCCCAGGGGTGTGCGTGGTAGGGAGTGATGGGGACGGTGAGAGCTCAGCGCAGGTCCCTTAGCCATCCTCCACTGGGGTACGCAGTGCCCCAGGGACTGCTGCAGGCTGGGGGTGAGTGCGTGCAAGCAGATCCAAGGGCTGGAGGAGTTGGGAAAGGGCGTTGGTGGTCAGTGAGGAGCAGCTCGGGGTGCTTGGGGGCAGCTCTGTCCCCAAGGAGAGGGTCACTGCCCCACTAGGGAGCTGGGACAGGAGGCCAGGCTGATGCATCCTGCTCCATCCCCCAGGGGGGATGAGCTGCCCTGTTTCTTGCCCTTGATCCCAGCTGGAAGGGAGCAGTGCAACCCTCTCCATCTCTATCATCCCACAGGCAGATCCTGACGGGATCCCTTGTTGGCAGAGGCTGGGTGAGCAGCTAGCACAGATCGGTGCTCATCTACCTGGGTCCCAGGGTGGATCCCTCCCCAGCCTGACTGATACTGGCACAACCATGGGCAGAGATGCCCAGTGCACAACCAGCGACCCACGCCAGCCCTGTCCCCAGGAGCGTGAACAAAGCTCGTGGCAGGAGAGAGAGCCAAGGGCAGCCTGGCCATGAGGCACGGGAACACCCCGGCCACGGAGCTCTTCCCGTGCCCACCACGGGCTGCCACAGCATCTCCAGGCTTCGCCCACGCCAGCGCAAGGGCGGGCGTGCCCATCGCCAGAGAGCCGGTGCGCCGTTCCCGGGCTGCCGCTCCACCACGCTGCTTCTGCAGAGCCCGCTGACGGGGGGAGCCCGGGGAAGCCATGCCCTCCCCAACCCCCCCCGCCCGCCCCGGCCCACACCCCTTGGCTCCCAGCCCTGGCAGGAATTATTAAGTGTGCCCCTGTGGAGCATGTGCTGAGGCTGGCCACGGGAATGTGGGCAGATCTGACATACAAGCCACAGCAGCCAGGCTGTAATTTCCAAACAGGCCCCGTTCGCTCTGTTTTCCAGTTAAAAATATATTAAAAAATAGGAATGTGGGGTTTGTAGTGAAGAATGTTGGTAACCGCTTCGAACGTCTGGTGTGATAATGAAAGGGTCAGTCCCCAGCTTTGAGCGCGACCGATTTAGACTCTGGTGCTTGGCACCGGTGTGGGGGCCCAGCATGGTCCAGCCTGCCTGCAACCCGCCCTGGGCCCAGGCCAGGGAAAGGTGATGCTTCTGCATTGGTGGCACCGTGCCGGGCTGGGTGACGTGCCCCTCCTGCTCACGCTATCAGGAGGACATCCAAATCGCTGTCTCTTATGGCCTCTTGAGAAGGGAGTCTGGGCAGGGGTGGGTGAAGGCGGGATGCCTGGGAGATGGATGCTGTGCCCTGTCCGCCGCTGGCCCTGCCACTCCCGCCGTGCTGGGGTACACCCCCATAGCCCCGGGATGGGGGGACACCGAGCAAGGCTGCAGTACGGCTCCCCGTGAGCTGCCCCCACTGCTGCAGGGCTGCCAGCCAGCACGGCTTGCTCCTGGTGGGAGGTCAGGCAGCTGCCCCTCTTCTCCAGGCAGCGCACCCCCCCGCTCCCCCCCCGGCTGGGCTAATCGCAGTTCAGGGTGTGCTGCGGAGCCTCCTGTGCTGCTGACGCAGCCTTGAGTCACTCCTGATACCGGGGCATCCCGCCTGGCCTTGTGGCCAGGTAGCCATAACATAGGGGGCAAGCCGTGCCAGCTCCCCGGGCATCGCTCCCCAGTGCCCAGCGAGCCGCGGGGGGCGACCCGGCCGGCACTCCCCCGGGTGTCAGCTCTCTGCTCCTGCCTCTCCCCAGACCTCGGGCGTCGTGTTTATCCCCGAGATGGATAATCAAAGAAAAACAAGTCACTGGAGGCCAGGGCTGACGTCGCAGTGGGGACAGCGAGTTGGCTGCAGCGGGGCTCAGCTTGCGGATGTGCTGGGGTAGTTAGGCAAGGAGAGGGGGAAAAGGCACCGGTACCCAGGGCTTGTCCCCCACCCAGCCCCTTCTGGGGACACCTCCTTGTCCCTCTCAGCCTCCGGGGCCATCAGGTGGCCGGCGGCTGGCACAGCACGCTCTGCTCCCTGCTGAGTCACGGCTCTGCAGGGAAACACTCCCAGCTCTGGCTATAAACCCGCCGTGAAGTGCGGCCCTCCCATCCCAGCGTGGGCCAGCTCTGGCAGCCCAATGGCTCTGAGCCCACGGGCTTGAGCAGCCGGGAAGGGCAGTGGCAGGAGGTGGCTCTCAAATTCCACCCCAGGTTTGCCAGATCTGGGCCCTTCCTGGAGGCATGGGCAGTGGGTGCCCTGCACCTGCGGATAGATGCCTGTGCCACACTGTGTGCCCCATCCCTTCCGGGGGGGGGGGCTGGTGGCATTGGGCACCCATCTGCCAGCACCTCCCCCAGGGTGTCACCCCGGCGGGTGCATTTGTGCCGGTCTTGGGGACACCGGGTGGTTGCAAGCACGGTGGGCAGCCCACAGCATTGCCCCGTCCCCACGGACACCACGGGGACGCTGCGCTGGCTCTGGGCAGCTGGGGCTGAGCACCAAGAGAGCAGCTGCCCTGCCCGGATCCTTGCTTGGATGCTGGGAAGAGGAGCAGCCTGAGCAGCCCCGGGGCTTGGGGCATGTCCCAGGTGCCATCCTGCCCTGCAGCCCGCGTCGTGGCTGGGTTGGAGCAGAGAGGGGTGGGCAGCACCCTGCGCCTGGGTGCACAGCCTGCCCCATCGCCCTGGCACTTCCTGGGGACCCCTTGGTGGCAGGGAGAGGGGGTGGGCAGCAGGGTAGTGACACCCAGGGCCGGGTGGCTCTGCAGGGGACTCTCCCGCCCTGCTGGGGCATTGACCCACGCAGTGCTATCTGGTACACTTTGCTCACTCCACCACTGTTCCTGGCTTTCCTGGGAGCTGCTGTTTGCTTTTCTCTGAATTATGACTCCAGCTTGTGCCTTTGATCTAGGCTGTGTCGGCCACCCATTGCCAGTCCCTCTCCTGCCTTTGAAGTGCAGTCGCCTTCCCGGCCTCAGATGATGCTTTTGCAACCCTGGGTGCAACCCTGGCCCCCCGTGGGGTGAGACACTCAGGGCAAGAGCATCCCCAGGGTGTCCGAGGTGCTCATCATCCCTCCTCCTCCTCCCTGGGACCTTGTGATGGGCCAGCACAGCTCATGGCTCAGAGGCCAGGCAAGAAGGCATCGAGAGGTGTGTTTTGCCAGTAGCAAGCAATCCTGGGGATGCAGGCAGAGTGCTGGGACCAAAGCATTGCTCCGTCCTGTGGCTGTGGGCAGGGACACAGGAGGTCCTGCACAGAGGCTGGCCAAAAAGCAGGTGCCAGTACTATGTGTATCCTACAACTAAGGAACTTTTCATGCCTGTGGCTCTAGCAGGAAGGATGACATCCGCGGTGAAGGTGCCTTTCTGGGCACCAGCCAACTCATCCCAGCATCAGCCCTGCCCTCCCGCCCTATCTGGCGGGGAGCAGCAAGGGGGGCTCAGCCTGCACTTTCTGCCACTGGAAAGCTGGGGCCAGGCTTTGGACTCTGGCCTTGAGTGGGTCTGAGCGTCCCCATCCCCTCCCTGCTCCCCTGGCCTAGAGAGGAGCTGGCCTTATCTGTTACACTTTGTTCTCCTGCTGTCTGGTGTGGAGCGGAGCAGAGATTAGTGCGCAGACCTTTGACACACACACACACGCACACACACAGAGCCACACAACCAGCCACGCAGGCACCCAGAGCCATGCTCATCTACACACGGCTGCACACACAGCCCCCGTGCACGCACGCATACTCACACTCACCTGCACGTGTACACCCATAGCGTGCCCTACACGCCCCCGTACAGCCACCCCCCTCCAGGACACGCACACACACACACGTTTCCCCATCTCTGCACGTGTTTGTTTGTTGGCTGTGTGCTGCGTTAGGTTCCCAGTGGAGTGTGGGGCTTGCCCAGCCTGCCAGCCTCCCTGCTGTGAGAGCCAAGGTCCCCCGTGCACATCGGCATGGCCCAGAGAGTCAGGGAGGCATCCCGCAGCCCTGGCAGGGGGTGCGGGCAGGAGGAGGAGGCGCTTCCCTGCTTTTCTCCATCCTTATGCCTGGATGGAGAAAAAATGTGTGCAGGGAGGCGGGAGCTGCTCTGGCAGCCTGGGAGCAAACCTGGGCATCCTTCGTCTCGCTGCCGCATCGCCCTCCCTTGCCACGGGGCCACTGGGGATGGCTTGTGCTGCCTGCATAGGCATCGCTGGAGGCAATCGTGGCAGGCCAGGACCCCCCTGTCCCCACCTCGTGCCGAGGTCCTGCCCCTGCCCAAGGCTCGCTGTGCTCATCGGCAAACTGTGGCCCCCGCGCTGCTCCAGCCGGGGAAGCCGCAGCCCTTCCCGTGCGATCTTATCTCCGGTCATTTCATGAATGACTCTCAAGCCCCCGCAGCCAGCCTCTGAATGGGAAGGCAGCCCACTGGCCGGAGCAGGTGTGCGGTTGTGTGCCCACACACGTGTGTGTGTGTGTGTGTGCACGGCTGGGGAGCAGCCACGTCCTGCCCAGTGCCAGAGCTGGCTGCCCCCACAAGCCGCGCCGCAGTCCCTGGAGTGAAGCAGATGGAGCCCAATGGGCAGAGGGATGCACAAGCCCTTCTCTGCCCCACTGCAGCACCGTGGCAGGGCATCCTGGCAGGGACTGGCTCCTGGCAGGTGATTTTCTGGCCGGGTGATGGTGTCTCTGCTCTCTCCCTCAGAGCCTGCCCCAGATCTGCAGTTTGGGAGAAGGGCAGACGTTCGCCTCCACTCTGCAGCAGCTCTACACTGCAGTGACGCAGCAGGAGGCCAAGCAGGCTCAGAAACGGCAGCACTCGGGTGAGGAGCTCCGTGGCTGTGGGATGGGGAGTTCATGAAACACCCGGCCCCACTGTGGCTGAGACCCCATCTCAAGGGAAGGGGAGTGGGGCCCTGGGTGCAGCTCGTCCCGTGCAACAGTCTCCCCCTTTGCTCTCCCCCCCATGGGCTGAGGTCCCCCACCCAGGTTCCACTCCTGGTGTGGGTTCGGGCAATACCTCACGCTCCCTCATCTCAATCCCAAATTGCCTCTCTTTCTGCTGGCACCAGAGGACACCGAGGACCCATCACCCACTGCAGAAACCACAGAGCACCCCCAGCCACCACCTCCATCCCAGGAGGATGAAACAGCATCTTCCAGTGAGGGAACCACGGTGAGTGCAGCTATAGAAACAGCCTCTCCATATCAATGGCAGGATGGAGCCCACACCTCCCTTCCCTCCTCACATCCCACCCCTGTGCCCCTCCAGGACGCGTTGGAGGATTTCAGCTTGGTCTCTAGCCCATCCTACCCCATGCATCCTGGCTGGGGAGCGTGTGGTTGCACATGAGTGTGTGATCTGCACTCCCCCACAGGCATGACAGGAGTGTCACTGCTTGCACACGCGCACTCATCCTGCATGACCCCCCGGGGGGGACTGACACTGCCTCCCCTTTGCTTCCAGCCGGCTTCCTCCCCAGCTCAGAAGCCTCGTCTGCCTGTGGCCAAGGTCAAACCGAAGAAGGCAAAGGGGCTCTTCAGCTGAAAGGTCTCTGCCACTCACCCTGAGGGTCTCTGCTCCCCCAAGCATCCAAGAGAGGCAGTGCAGAGCACCCATGTGTCCTCTGCCTGCTCTCCTGCATCTACTGGTGGACCCTGCCCAGCTCATGATCCCCTCCCGAGGTGTGTCCAACCAGGGAGATGGGGCATGTCCTTTCTTCAACAATGTCTCAGGAACCTCTTTTCTATCTCTTCCCTAGTGCAGAGCTTGCCCAGGCTGCCTAGTGGTGGAGTCAGCGCTGGGTGGAGTGGGAGGGATGCTGTGGAGTGGGTGTGGGGCTCTGGCAGGGCTGTGGGGTTTGGCTGCTCTCATGTGGGTTTGCAGTAAAGGACTGTGTCTGGGCGAGAGTCCCTCTCCTTCTGCTCTGTCCCCCCTGGGCCCAGGCAGGGGTGCAGCCCCCAGTGCTGTTGGATCCCCCTCAGACCAGTCCTGCTGACCCAGGGGCTTGCAGCAGCTCTGGACGGTGAAGAGGTGACAGCAGCTCACTGCTGCGGGGCAGGACAGCAGCTCCCAGCCCATGCTGTGCCTCACCTTGAGCAGCTGTATATAGGGTGGGGTGTGCATGATGGGACGCTCAGATCTGGGGGTACGGCATGCTGGGGGGGCTGGAGCCCTCGTTCTGCTTTGTCCCACGCTGGGGACCCACCATGAGTTGGTACCTGGAGCCAGGTGAGGCCCTTGCAGCAGCAGGTTGGCAAACGCAGCCTGGCTGGGATGAGGGGCACCTTCCATTTGCAGGCAGCTCCCCCAGGGTTAGTGAGCAGGTGGTATGGGGTTATTCCCCACTCTGGCCTCCAAGGAGCAGAGGACAACCAAGCCACTGATAGACTGAAAGCTCCCAGGCCTGGTATCAGCCCTGGAGCTGGTTACAGGTGCTCCATGGACACAAAGCACCACCTCTGCCCCTCCACACTCCATCCATCCATCCATCCATCCATCCATCCATCCATCCATCCATCCATCCATCCATCCATCCATCCATCCATTCATCCATCCATCCATCCATCCATCCATCATTCACTAACCACTGCTCTCCTCTTCCAGTCATTGTGTCCACATGCTTCCTTTGGGGCTGGAACCCCCACTCCTGTGCCCAAGCAGGGTCCTAAAACAGCAGGCAGAGAGCCAGGCAGCACTACCACTGGCAGGGTGCAGCCCATGGTGCTGCTCCCCTGGGGCAGGGACCTGTGCCCCGGCTGCTCTGCTCCCCGGTCGTGGTCGTGCTGACTGCTCTCCTGGGCAGCAAGGGGGAAACAAAAATATCCGGAGCAGCCCCTGTGTCTGTGGAAGGGGAATGAAAGGGCCTTTGCTGGGCCACGGCTAGCCAGTCCCAGGGCGAAAGCAGGCAGTGGCTTTTTATATTTCCTCTCTGAGGGAGCAGCATGCAGGGCAGGGTGGGTGGTGAGAAGGGGAAGCCATGGGATGGGGAGCTTGCGCTGACAGCTGTAGCTACATATCCTGACTACTCTCATCTGCCAGCATCTTACCCTGGCAGCTTTGGGTCTGCCTGACAGGGCACTTGCCCCCAGGGAGGGTCCTGCTACCAGCTGGCGAGGGAGTAGGACTGTGGCAGCAGGAGTTTAGCAGCTCTCCTTTTCCTGCGTCTTCTGTCACCAGGCTGTCCTCCGGTGTAACCCCTGCTCCACCCCTGTGGGGTCCATCTCCTGGTCTGGAAGCTACCCTGTTCCAAACCAGGTCCCCCAGCTCCCTGCTGGGCCCAGGCTTCCTGCTGCTTCCCTGTGTGTGCTGGGATCTCCAGGAGGAGGGTTTATCACCCAGCAAGGGCATCTGGCTCATCTGTCCCTTTCGGGGCTGAAGGGACATCACGTGGAGCGGGCACATTGACATCACGCTGTGCCAGTGGCTGGTGGACTCCACAGGGCTTTGGGTGGTGCAAACCAGCACCTGCACCCCTGCGTCATCCCAGATTTCAGCTGCACCCAGGCTGTGTCTCTGCTTCTCCCTGGGGTGCTCAACCCAGGGGAGCCAGTCCCAGGGATGCTGCAGGGGTGTCCTGCTACTCTTCAGCCCTGTCCTGCTGCAGAGTAAGTCCTTCTGGGGATCCCTGTGGCTCTGTGCCCAAGGGACGGGTGAGCACCCCAGCAGACATGGGCTGGGGGTAAAGACCTGCTGTAGGGACAGGTCCTGCTCCACTCACCCTGCTCCCAAGGCAAGGGAAGGGGGGGCTGCAGGAGCACGGATGGGGGGCAAATAAAAACAGGAGAGTGAAGAGCAGGGAAAAGAGCTCTGCCTATGTCCCCCCAGGACACCACAGGGACCCCGGCCCCCAAGACTCCAGCGTGGGGCCACCAGTGCCTCCCTGGCCAGGTTGCCGCCGGCTCTGGGGAGTGCCACCAATCATTGTCCCATCCTGTCCCACTGGGGTCTCCTTCTCTGTCCCCACCCCCTCCTCCCTGGAGCCGGCTGGATTTGAGCTCCCGACACACATTAAAGGCCACAAGTTCGGCCTCGGCCTCCATAAATTTGATTCCATAAATATTAGTTTTCGCAGGGTTTAATGAAGCCGTTATGCCGGGCACGGCCCAGCACCCCGACCCGTGCCCTTAATAAGGGCTCTGTGGCCTCGATTAAAGGGACCTTTCAATCGCTGTCAAGTATTTTTAGAAAAGGAAAAGAAAAAAAAAAAAAAAAAGAGAGCGAGAGAGAGAGGAGAAGAAGACGACCAAGGCAGCGTATAGGGAGAGGAAAATCCCAAACCCGTCCAGTGCAAAAATAGAGAAATAGCACCACCTAGATTGCATCGCCCGGCTCCGCCGCCCGCTCGCCCGCTCGCCCTGCGCAGCGCCCGGCTCCGGGCAACCCCGCGGGGCCCTGTGCCAGCCCCCTGCCCTCTGTCCCGGGCAGCCTTGGGAGCCCAGCGAGGTGCCTGCGGGGTGCTGCCCCCCCGCTCGGGGCGGGGATAGAGGGATGCGGTGGTGGGGAAGGCTGGGGTGCAGGGGAAGGAGGGACTTGGGCACGGGCGGGACACTGGCAGGAGCAGTGTGTGGTGGCTGGGTGTCCCGGCGATGCCTGAGAGCGTCCGAGCACTGGAGGAGATGCTGTGTGATACAGGGATGGATGCTGCATCTCCCCCACCTCCACTGGAAGGTAATTCCTCCTTGTGACCTAATGCTGTGGCAGCAAGTGTCCCTTCCCACCAGCTCCCGGAGCAGAAATGCCCCCCTGCCCCAAGAAAAAAATTCCCCCTCACCCCCTGGTTAAACAGACCCTATCGCAGGCTCCAGCCCCGTCCCCGCACACCCAGCCCTGCCTGCCCTATCCTGTCTGGGGCTCCTGTCCCACTTGGCCTCCGTGTGCCGACGGGCTTTGCCTGGCAGAGACACTGGCTGGCATTGGGAATGCTGCATGGAGAGGTGATGGACTCTGAACCCAGTGACAGGACACTGTCACTGCTCACTGTGGCCAGAGCCGAGGCAGGATGCCAGGGCCCCTGCATGGGTTGGAGCTGCCGTCACAGACAAACCCAGCTCTCTGTCTGCAGCCCTGGGCCTCCATGGGACGTGAGTGTTGTACCAGCGAGGGCAGGGCTAGGCTGCTTGCTGTTATCCTGGAGCTGCTGGGAGGGGGACAGACACATGTGACATGCACACTGCATGCTGTCAGGCTGCAGAGGTTATGTAGAGGTCTGGGTTTGGGTCATCAGCAGCCACAGGGCACTTCTCCCTGGGGATGTGCTGCACCCCCCAGACCCAGTGCCGTGCCAGATGATTCTGTTCCCCACTCCCTTGTGGCGGTGATGAGCAAAGTGGGAAGCTGGGCTTGTTCCTTTGGTGAAAGTATGAACCAGGCTGGAGGACTCTGTGGATCTATCCCAGGCTCTGATTTTCCTGTGCCAGTGATGCACTGAAAGCTGTGCCCCTTCTGCACCCCCAGGAAGCCAGGGACAGGGGTGGGGAGTGGTGCTGTGACACGTCCCCTCTGGTCTCTTCTGATGCCCTTAGGATGCTCCACTAGAAGGATCAGCTGAAGACATGTGGGAGTGGGGTGTCCTACGGCTGCTGCCCAGACCCTCTTGCTCCATCATGTGCAGGAGCAGTGGGACAGCCTCACTGTCCTGCACAGTGGCAGGACTTCACCGAGGCTCTGGGCACTGGTTTTAGGTACCAGCAAGAAAACCTGACGCAGTGTGGCTACTGAGTACAAAAACGTGATGGAGATGCCTTTGGACAGCTGCACTTTGCCTGCAGCTCCTGCAAAGGAAATGGTCCACTGGGTCCACTGGATAGCAGCATCCCAAGCCTGTGGGTGCTCCTGACTCCCCAGCCTGAATCCCTCTTGCCCAGTTTGCTTGGTCCTGGTGAGGCCAGCACAGCCCTGCAGCCAGAGCTGGACTTCTGGACAGACTATTGCAGCTTGGCCTCTCTGTATCCCTGGGAGTGACCCGTGACCTGTGCCCACCGAAGCGCTGGCGAGCGGACATCCCTGAGACAGCGGTGTGAGTGGGGACATCCCAAGGCACTGCCTCACCTGGGAAGGTCCTAGGGAGCCAGAGGGGGTGCAAGCAGAGCTGTGCTGGACCCCTCCCCAGCACACAGCTGGGGGAGAACCGGGGGGGCCCTGCAAACCCTCTCTCCTGAAATCAGGGTGTTATATTTACTTTCCCCTTTTGGCAGCTAGAAGGGGAAGCCCATCCCAGCCCCTCATTGTTGTCTCAGCGAGTTAATCAGATGCCATAATCCTGTTGTGGAAATATCGGGCCTCCCTGGAAACAATGGGGAGCGAGAATATTGTGGTTAAATTTCAACCAGCTGCCTCCCTGCTCTGTTTGATCCCCGCCCGCAGGCCCGGGCCCCTGGCGAGCAGGCGGCGCAGCGGGGGCCGGAGCCCCGGGGGTGCCACCCTGCGCCCACGCCGCCGCGGGGGAGCCCCCGCGGGACACCCCGGGGTGCGTGGTGGGGGGGGGGGGTGGGGTGGGGTGTAGGGTGTGCGGCGGGCCGGGCGCGCCTCGGGGCGGCGGCGGGGCTGCCCCGGGGGGCAGGTGTCGGAGGGCACCCCCGGCGGGGTGGGCTGCGGGCCGCGGGGCTCGGCCGGGGGGGAGGAGGCTGCGGGCGGCCCGGGGCAGGTTCCGCGGGGAGGAGGCGAGAGAGGGAGGGCGCTGGGAGGCTGGGACACGGGCAGGGTGCGGTCCTGGCGGTTCCCGGTCCCGGATCTCTTCAATTTCCCCTCTCACTCCTGCCCGGGGAGCGGAGGCAGCGGCGGCTCCGGCTTCGGCTCCAGCCCCGCCGCGCTGACCGCCGGGGCGCAAACCGCGGGGGGCTCCGGCAGCGCCGAGCCCCGCGCCCCGCAAGCAGCCGCTCGCCTGCCAAAACAAACGGCCCTTCGCTATTTATTGCCGCCGCCGGGCCACGGCAGCTCAGAGCGGGCCGACGCCAGCCCGCCGCACCGGGCAGCCGGAGCGCACCCGCACCGGGCACCCGGCACCGGCACCGGCACCGGCACCGGCACCGGCACCGGCACCGGCACCGGCACCGGCATCGGCACCGGCACCTGCCCGCCGGCTGCGCGCCGCATGGGGAGCCCCGGGGCGGGCGGCGGGAGCGGCGGCCGAGCCTAGCGCGGCCCCCGGAGCCGCCGGTCCCCCGGGCCGCCCCGGGGCCGCCGGGCGCGCCATGAAGCCGGCGCGGCTGCTGCTGCTGCTGAGCGGGTGCGCGCTGCTGCTGGCGCCGGCCGTGCGCGGCTGCGGGCCGGGCAGGGTGGTGGGCAGCCGCCGCCGCCCGCCCCGCAAGCTCATCCCGCTCGCCTACAAGCAGTTCAGCCCCAACGTCCCCGAGAAGACGCTGGGGGCCAGCGGCCGCTACGAGGGCAAGATCGCGCGTAACTCGGAGCGCTTCAAGGAGCTCACGCCCAACTACAACCCCGACATCATCTTCAAGGACGAGGAGAACACCGGAGCCGACCGGCTCATGACCCAGGTACGGCCCTGCCGCCGCCCCGCTTCTACCCCCGTGCCGGGCACCTGCGGGCACCGGGGCTGCCCGGGAGCGCCCTGCGCCCCGCTCTCCTGGGGCAGCAGCGGGGCAGCAGCGGGGGGACCCGTCGCTGCGGTTTCCCCGTCCTGCCCCGGGCATCCCGGTGCCCGGCCCGGGCTGCCGGCTGTGCAGCGCGGGCATCTCCCTTCGCCGGGCGCTGCAAAGCCCCTTCGGCTGGGCTGGGCGCGTCGGAGCCGGAGCTGGCAGCACGCTGCGCCTTGGTACAGCAGCACCCTGCTGCGAGAGCCGGCAGCACCCTGTCCCACGAGTTGGCAGCACCCTGTCCCGCTGCCCCCCGGAGCCTGCGGCACCCTGAGGTGTGCCCTTGTGCCTTCCGAGCTGGCAGCACCCTGCCCTGCTGTCCCCCAACCCATGTCCCGTTGTCCCCTGAGCTGGCAGCACCCTACCCTCCAACCTGGCAGCAGCCTGCCCTGGTGCCCCCCCCCAGCCACGCCACAGTGCCCCCGCTCCAGCAGCACCCTGCCAAACCACCCCCGAGCCGGCATTACGGTGCCGCGCTGTTCCCCCTTCGGGCAGCACCCTGCCCCGCTGCACCCATCCTGCCCTTGCCTTTCTGCTCTGCCCACGGGCTGGCAGAGCAGGCAGCCTCGGAGCCGAGGGGCAGAGTGGAGCCGGGTGTGCTGGCAGGGAGAGGGGCAGGCAGAGCCGCAAACTGGGCTCCAGGAGCGCCCTTGCTGACCTGTCCCCACTCTGTCACCCAAACCCTGTGCTGTGCCTCAGTGGCCCCTCTTCCCATGTGTCCCGGGTGGGATGGTGAAAGGTGCCCGATGGGGGCTGCCCTCAGCTTGCTGCGCTCAGGGTCGGGGATGACCTGTTATTGCAAATGCCCTGTTGCAGTCAGCTTATAAGTGCCCTGGGAAGGAGGGGTGGGGGGGACAGAGAACGGCAGCGGAGGGAGGGGAGTGTGATGCTGGACGAAGGTTACTCTGTGTTTTAATATTGCCAGGAGAATGCCTGAGGGTTTCAGGAATGCAGATAAGGAGCCGCACGGCCTTGCTAAGAAACCTGGCCACCAGCCTCAGCACTGGGTTACAGCCCGAGTGAACTCCTGGGGGAAGCGGGGGGGAGCCGGGGCTGCCCCACTGACCGCTGCACGTCCCAGTCTGGGGCTGGCAGGTGGGGGTGAGCGTGGGTGGCCGTGACGGTAGGCACTGAGTGGGGCTCTGGCCATGGTTTCTGACTGAGGTAGTGGTAGCAGCTGGAGGAGAAGCTGCTTGGGTGCTGCTTTGACAGCTCTGCAACCCCGCGTGTCCGGGAGGCAGGTCTCTGAGGGCAGGGACCATGGTCCATGGTGGTTCTCAGGATGGGGACTGCAGCGAAGGAACCAAGACCCCCTGTGAGGCAGCACCAAGCTTGAGGAGTTACACAAGTTGTGGTTGCTGGTGACTGGAGCCCTGGGGCTGGGCTGGAGCCTGCATCACCTGGGGAACAGCTTCAGGGATACTTGAGAAAGTGGTGAGCTCCGCTGGTCCATGCATTGGGAAAGTGGGTGACATCGTACTGCTTGAGTTGGAGACAGGGTTCTGGCTGCATGTGCTCTTGAGAGGGCTCCCACCACCTGCCCTAACCCAGCCTGTGCCCCTCGACACCTTTGGGAGAGGGAGGGCTCTGTGTCCCGCCTGCCAGCCCCACACTTCCCACTGTCCTGCTGCCTTGTTGGCAGGATACCTGTAAGCTCCCTGGTCTTCTTGAGGTGCCCAAATGAGGACTCTTACCCCGACAGAGTCCCTGGCCACCACACATCCGTGCACAGATGTGTACCATTCTGTCTTGGGCAGCTCTACAGGAAATTGTCCTCATTGCTATGGAGGTGGCATGACTTCTGGTAGCTTGCTGCCTTCTCACAGCCATCTGGGCTTGTCCTGTGGCCCCTGGCTGTGGGAGATGCCCCTAGACGTGGGAGCTCTGGCTCTGGCACCATGCCCTATGTTGCTATGGGTTGGGAAAGGCCATTGACCCAACTCCTTGTCCCTTCCCCCAGTGTGCTGGCTTTTACTGCTGTTGACTCACTTCAAACCTGTTTTCTTTCCCCAAGTCCAAGGGTCTGGGTGTCCCAGGCAGCCGGAAGATGCTGCCTGCTTGGGGGGGTGGGTAGTGCTGCTCTCTGCCCGCCTTTCCTTTATCGTTTCATCTTCCTCAAGAATTCCAGTGTGTTTGCTCTCGCTGGTCCCACTCGGAGGTGCTGAGATAAGGCTGGAGGCAGAGCCCGCCTCACCTCTTGCTGGCAGCCTGGCCCAGGAATGTCCTGGGCCCCCTGCCCCCCTGGAGTCCCAACCCCAAGCCTCTCCCTACCCCAGCCATCACCCCCTTGCAGCCACAGTTGGCCCAACCGGCACGGACACCACCCTTGAAGTGGTGAGGAATTTCTCATGGAAACCTTGGGATAGGACTCTTGTCTTCCTTTGGGAGAAACCTCACCTGGGGAGGAGATGCTAATGGGACCCCTCTTCTCCTGGCCAGGCTCTGGACATGGGGGTAGCTGTGGCCAAGCACACTCCATCTACAACCCATCTGCAGAGACTGTGGTCACACCTGAGTGTCCTGCATTCCTCCACTGAGATGGCCCTGGAGTCCCCGCTAGCTGTGCCCCATCTTGGAGCTCTGCCCTTCCTTCCAAACCTGCTGCCTTCCCTAAAGGGGTTTGACTTCCCCCACAGGACGTGGTCCTGTCCCCAGTCTGGACACGAGAAGGGAAATGCCAGTGTCGGTCATCAGGGACAACATCTCTGCTCAGCTCAGCCCAACATTCCCAGGGTCTCCACTGTGATGTGCGTGGGACAGCACAGAGCCACCCAGCTCAGTGTGGTGGCACGTGGCCCCATCCTGCATGTGACCTGGGGGTGCCCGGTCACCTGCGCCACTATAGGGACAAGCCGTGCCCTCGAGACCTCACACACTGTCACCACGTGTCTTCCCCCCAAACCCTACTCGGTGACAATTGCATGGGTTTCAGCCTCCTAGCTGGACACCAGAACAGTGCTGGGGCTGGTGGGCTGTGCCCAGGGCCCAGTGCCACATGGCTGAGCTTGGACATCCCACTCCAGCCTGGGCCCTGCAGGGCCCATGGGCTGTGGTGGCATTTCCACATCTTTGCTGTGACCTTGTGAGGCCTTATGTTCCCCCCCCAGGCAGGATGGGGACCAAGCCACACAGACAGGCATGGTCACCCTGGTCCCTGAGGGTGCTGTAGCCCCTCTGGGCTGTGCGTGGGGAGGAGGTGAGCTCTCCCTGCAGGCCCCACCAAGCACAGAGCCTGTGGACAGCCCGTGCCCACCGGTTTCTTGCTCCCTGCCTACCTGTCTGTGCAGGCAGCAAAGCCCCTGGACAGGCAGTGCCCACCCCTACCTGCTCACTGCCCATCTGTGCCTGCTCCCTGCTGCCCATGCCTGCTCGCTGCCCATTGCTGCTTGTCCCTTGCCCATCCCTGGCCATCCCTGCCCGTTGTTTTCTCCCTGCCACCTGGGCCTGCTCCCTGCCCATCCCCACCTACTTGCCCTTGCCTACCACTGCCTGCTCCCTGCTTATCATTGCTCATCCCTGCCTTCTCCTTCCTCACAGTTGCCTGTTCCCTGCCCATCCATGCCTGCTCCTCACCCGTTAGCACCTACTCCCTCCCAGATCCTCCCTGCCCGGCTCTGTCCATTGGTACCTGCTCCCTGCCCATCGCTCCCTTCTCCCTGCCCTTCGGTACCTGATGCCTGCCCGTCGGTACTGGCTCCCTGCCACTCCCTACCTGTGCTCTGACACCTGCTGGCCACCAAAGGCACAGGCAGGGCCACCCGTCTCGTAGCCCAGGGGCCAGGGCGCTGGCAGTGAGGGCAGGAGGGGTGCCCAGGGCGGGGTGCTGGCGTGGGAGCAGTAAGGGAACACCTGAAGTGATGGCTGGGCGATGCAGGGCAGGCATTGGGGACACCCTGCCTGACTCTAGCCCTGAACCCCCTTACTGCCCTTCTCCACAGGGTCCCTGTAGGGTCGGGGACCTTGGGAGTTGCTTTTGCCACGTGCCAAGTGGCACCACGGTGGTGTTGGACGGGGACAAAAGTCGCTCTCCTCCCTCCTCCTCCTCCCCTCACCTGGCAACTGTTTGTCCAACACCTCGCTGGCTTATCTCCCCACACCCAGGGAGCTGTGGGACGAGGGCAGAGGTGCTCCCCCACCCCATGCGGGGCAAAGGCCTGCCTGGCACTGCCCTTCCCAGGGCCTGGACCCTGCCAAGCACAAGCGGGTTTCCCCGAGAGCAGCAGCACCCACCTCCCCAGGATGGGAGCAGGTGCTTGGGGGTAGGGTGAGGGCCCACATTTTTGAGGGGGCAGCTCCCTGCAGAAGCAGTGCTGGGGCATTTCTGAGCCCGGGGCTGTAGCCAGCATTGGGTTTTATAGCCCTGACTCCTGCTCTACCGTGACCGTGTCTCATGACCCATGACACCCTGTGGTGGGGAGTTCCAGCGCTAAGCTAGGCATCATGCAAAAACATCCCCCATAGTGGCTGGTTTTTAGGCTTTTGCCCAGTAGATTCATTTAATACTTCCCAGGACTGGCCTCATACATGACCGTGAATGCTTCGTCCTTCACCCTGATTTTATAGTGCTCTCTGCAACACCCCCAGCATCCCCTTTCTAGGCTGTACAGTCCTAGTCCTTTCACCTGGTTTTGTGTAGAAGCTCCCATATTGATTTTCCTACACCTTTTCTAGTTCTCCATCCCTTTTGCAGCGGGGGAAGGGACCAGAAGTGTGGGCTGTACTTTTGCAAGCCAAGCGCACGGGGGTTTGGTCCCTCCCTGAGTTGTGTCTGGGGGACACGGGCAGCACGGGGCAGGGCTGGGGGGGCTGCAGCACAGGCATTCGGGGCTGGTATCCCCCTGCTTGCTGGGGAGGACTGTGGTGGGGGGCGGATGAAGCAGGGCAGTTTCCTTGCTCGTGTGACCTCTGTGGCCACCAGGTCTGGGGCTTTTGCGATCTGCTGCTGTTCCACAGCCCTGGCTTTTCAGCCCCTGTAGCAGGGAGAGGTGGAGGGGCCTTCACACCATGTCCTTTCTGCTTCAGAACAACAGAGTTCTTGGACAGGTTTGGCATTTCCCATGTGAGCAGATGCCGGATGAATCTATGAGGCTGCCAAGTGCTGTGTCCTTGTGCCTCAGGATTTGAGGAGCCATACCAAGCAGAGCTGTGCTGAGGACTTGTCAGATTGTTTCATTTGTGCCTGGGGACTGTGCTGGAGACGCTGGGTGATCCTCCCAGTCAGAAGACAGCAGGGTCTCAGCTCCCACATCCTCCCCCCTGTCAACTGGGAGCCCCTGGGGCAGTGATAGCACAGGGGAGGTGTCCTGTGATCAGAGAGGGTGTTTCACCCCAGCTCTGGCTGTGCTGCCCAACAGGCTCCCCAGTGAGCCAGGAATTGGGGGAAACATGGAGGTGGAGATGGGTACTCTGTTCAGGTGCGCACCCCTGGGAGATGTTATGTCAAAGAGTGGGGTATCAGGAGTCTGGAGGGCACAGGATGGACAAGGCACTTCATGTTCTCAGATCTTCCTCTGCTGGACCAGCCCCCAAAGGGTCTGAGGTCCCAGAGAGGCTTTGTGGAAGCGTGGTGGGATACAACCTGCCAACCAGATAGCTAACTGCCCTCCTCCACAAAGCTTTGATTGACTCTGCCCCTCTGCCCTGCAGCGCTGCAAGGACCGCTTGAACTCCCTGGCCATCTCTGTCATGAATCAGTGGCCGGGGGTGAAGCTGCGGGTGACGGAGGGCTGGGATGAAGACGGGCACCACTCAGAGGAGTCGCTGCATTATGAGGGCCGAGCTGTGGACATCACGACCTCGGACCGGGACCGCAACAAGTACGGCATGCTGGCTCGCCTGGCCGTGGAGGCTGGCTTCGACTGGGTCTACTACGAGTCCAAGGCACACATCCACTGCTCCGTCAAGTCAGGTAAGGCTGGGAGGGGGCAGTGAGCAGGGCTGGGGGCCAGCCCCCCTGTTGCAGCATGCCTGGGGAGCCTGGCTGGCTGGGTGGGGTGCTTCCAGGGGAGTACTGGCTCTTGCAGCCTGATTTCCCCATCTGGGCAGCTGGGTGGGGAGTGAGTCACACACCTGTGGCCAGCAGTGCCGTCCCCAGCTCCCACGGACCTTCATCACGACCTACCCTCTCTATCCCCCTCCTTTTCCCACCCCAGGTCCCCTTCTCCCCCAGCCTGTCCCCCCAGTCTGCCCATTGCATCTGTCTCCCCTGCCACTGCCCTTCCAGTCCCTTCATGCCCAGCTGCTCGCACTCAGCTCCGTTCAGCCCTGCCCTCCTTCACCGCCGGCTGCTCTCGAGCTCCCGCAGTCACAGCAGCATCCGTCCAGCCCTGACTGTCTAGGGTCAGGGACACCCAGGCAGGGATGGGGCAGGGCGCCCTCGGGTCAGCTCTCTATCACGCAGCTTCTTCTGCGGGGGGGAGCGGAGCTGGGGGGTGCTGGGGCAGAGGCAGCTCGCCTAGAGCGAGGGGTGCTACCATCGCTGGTGGTGTTTTGCCCCCCGCCGTGCAGTGCAGTGAGGCGTGGGGGGGGGGGGTGCGGGACACACGACCACGACGACACCGATGCTCTCAGGCCCTGCCCGTGGCCGGGACGAGATTGCGTGGGGGGCAAGGCCCCCCCCCAGCCAGCCCCGGGAGAAGCTGCCGTGCCTGGGATGTTGCAGCTCCCGCCGGAGCGGCCGCGCTGTCTGTGTGCGGCAGAGGGCAGCAGTGGCCCACGCACGGCACCGGCCACGCAGGGCCACACTCACCCCGCGGCCACACGCCAGGAGAGGTCCGTGCTGCTGCACTGATGCCTGCGTGCCGATGTCGCGACAGGCTGGGAAGGGCTCTGCCTGTGTGGGGGCTTGCGTGGAAATACACGCACCGCCCCCGGCACCGTGCAAGGCACACGGCTGCCGTGCTGGAGAACAGCGCCTGCCCACGGAGCACTTGCACACGCACAGGAAGAGGGCTGTGGCCACACACACATGCCCACACACGTGCCCACGCACCCGTGTGCCGTGCACTGTGACACGGTGATGCCGGGGCTGGGACGTTGGTTCCACCCCGCGCCTGCTGTCCCCGGGCTTGGCTCCCACCCCACTCTGCCTGTCCTACCGCCCTAGCCCGCGGCCAGCGACCTGACACCCCCAGACGCCAGCCTGCGCCCCCACGCTGACCCACTCCCCCGTGCCGATGCCAGGACGGGCGCAACGCCAGCCGGCGATGGAGGTGGGGCGACCGTGCCGCAGAAAGGGAGCGATGCGCCCCCGAAGAAGAGGGACAAAGCATGGGAGAAGAACCAGGGCTCCCGTGCCCCGGGCACCCTGTGGGGCTAGTCGGAGGAGTGGGGCCAGGCTCCGAAGCAAAGACCGTGACCCCAGAGCCTTGGGGCTGGCCAGAGGAGTGGGGCTGTGCCCCTGGAGAAGGACGGAGGCTCTTGAATCCTGGGTTGCTCCCCTGGACCAGCTGAAGAGGGACGCCATGACCCAGGCAGCAGACCAAGTCCCTGAGGCTCCAGAGGGCTTCTGGAGGCTGGCCACAGCCCCCTCACTCCACAGTGGCTCCTGCGGGCTCTGGGTCCCCTATATTTATCCCTGAGGCCACAGGGAGCCCAAGGGTGCGTGGTGGAAGATGTGGGGTGCATATCCTGACCACCCCCCAGAGCTGTGTACAGAGGGCAGCCGGGCTGCCCCTGCCGCTTAGTAAATGGCTTTTATTTTTGTATGGATGGCCGCGTGGCCTGTTGTATGTATTGCGTCTCCTCGGGTGCCCCCCTGTGCCCCCACACCCCTCCATACCCAGCGCCTGTGCCCCTTGCTCCTGCCAGGTGCCGCTCTCACCCTCCTGCCAGCCCTTCCCCATGGCTCTGCCACCTGCCCGGGGATGCGGGGTGCAGGATTTGGGACCTGGCCACCGGGGCAGGCACAGGGCGGACACTGCACCTCATCTGAGCAATAAAAGGATTCTGTCCCAGAGATTAATGCCTCTCTTCATGGGCCTGGGGGCTGGGATTTGGCTCTGCCCAAAGCTGGGGAGTGATGGGGGGGCAGTGCCATCTGGGTGGGGCCACTCAGGGATTAGAGGAGGGAGCTGGGAGAGGGCCCTGAGTGGGGCTGGGAGCTCGAGGCTGGGACCGTGCAGGGCCAGGAGCAGGACCCTAGATGGGATGCCCCTGGCTGATGGTGGGAAGGCATCATATAGACATTAAGATGGGGGGTGCTGGGGCTTGGGGGACCAGGACTGCTGTGGGAGCTGAGCACCATTCTCTGGGAAGCCAGCACTGTTCCCCTGCTAAGTGCCAAAATGGGCCCCTGGTGACACTTGGTGACTTGCTGCTTCTTTTCACCCGGGGAGGGGTAGGACTGCCATGCCACCATCCCAGGCGACAAGCCCCAGAGAGTTTGGGTACTTTATCCTGCCACAACCACTAGTGAAGCCCTGCCCAGGAGGCTGGTGGCTTTTGCCTGACGATGGCCACAGGCTGTGACCTCTCCCTGCAGCTCAGAGAGGGGGTTGGCTGGCGTCAGCGGTGCAGGGGCGAGCAGGCAGGAGAAGGGACCAGGGCTGCAGTGTGGGGTGGAGGGGTGCTGGGGGAAGGCACAGCACCCTGCGCCATTCCTTGTAGCATCCCCCCCAGCGGTACCCAGACCCAGCACTGCAGGGAATGGGGATGCTGTGGGCATGCAGAGTGTGACCAGGCACTCTGTTCCTCAGCTTGCAGCCGGTTCAGGGCTCTGCCCCAACCCCTCTTTCAGGCTTTGGGTGACCCCTGGCACTGCCTTGCACATTTGGGACTGTGGCTGTGCCCCACTCCCCCTGCCAGGCAAGTTTCAGGACGTGACCCTGCAGAGCAGCTCCAGCACCCTGGCACCACGGTGGGGAGCAGGTGCTGCCATGGGTGGCTTGAGCCCCCACATGCCACCCCCAATGACATGGTGGCTGGGGGAGCAGGCACACAGGAGACTAGATTGGTGGCTGGGGGTATGCAGCGGACATGTGCACGTTAGTGATGCCAGGGCAGGGTTATCCCTGGGTGAGCAAAGCTGGGCAGACTGGAAGGGTCTCTGTGTGTCGTGGAAGGGTGATGCTGAGTGTCTGGCAGACGGGTAACATTCCTGTCCTCTCTCTCCCCACACAGAGCACTCGGCCGCTGCGAAGACGGGGGGCTGCTTTCCTGGGCAGGCGCTGGCGACGCTGGAGGACGGTGCCCGGACACCCCTGTGGGCCCTGCGCCCGGGCCAGCGGGTGCTGGCGATGGACGGGGCGGGCAAGCCCATCTACAGCGACTTCTTGGCTTTCCTGGACAAGGAGCCCCGCGCCCTCACCTCCTTCCACGTCATCGAGACGCAGGAGCCACCCCGGCGCTTGGCCCTGACACCCACCCACTTGCTTTTCGTGTCCGAGAACGCCTCGGCGCCTGCCCCCCACTTCCGCCCCACCTTTGCCAGCCGTGTGCGCCCCGGACATTTCGTGCTGGTGGCGGCAGAGGGAGGAGGCTTGCAGCCTGCCGAGGTGGTGCGGGTGCGGGACCGGAGGGACGTGGGAGCCTACGCCCCACTGACACGCCACGGGACGCTGGTGGTGGACGACGTGGTGGCCTCGTGCTTCGCCCTGGTGCAGGAGCAACATCTGGCACAGCTGGCCTTCTGGCCACTCCGGCTCTACCACAGCCTGGTGGGGTGGCCAGGGGAGCAGGGGGATGGTGTGCACTGGTACTCGGGGCTGCTCTACCGCCTGGGCAGGCTGCTCCTGCCCCCCGACAGCTTCCACCCGCTGGGGGTACCCCAGGTGGAGAGCTGAGGGTGCGCCCCAGCCGGCACTGCTGGCGGAGGTGGTGGCTGCGGGGCAGCTCACTGGGGACCAGCATCCCCTCCCAAAGCTGGGTGCCCATGGGGAGCTGCCTCCAGCCCTGCCTGCTTGGGGCACAGCCACCTCCTGGTTGGGGGGCACCAGGGCTCCCTAGTGTGCCTCCTCCATGCCCACCGCCCCCTCCTCACCCCCATTGTTCCTGGGGGCAGGGAGGGAGGGATGAAGGGTTGCTCCCCCCTGGACATGGGGGTGCCCCTGGCTGGATCCACATGCTGCTATTTGTGTGTGTGCGTATGATGTGTGTGTGCGTGTGCAGAATTAGCTAACGGCGGAGGTCTGATAGATGAGGGGGAGCGGGAAGTGGAGAGAGCTCCCACGGGGCTCGCAGCCTGCCTGCACCCAGTGGGGAGGCTTTGGGAGAGGGGCCCCAGCACCCTTTGTTGTGCAGCCCAGGTGAGAGGGTGGGCGATGCCATTCCCACCCCTGGGACACGGCAGCTGGGAAGAAGGTGACCGAGGTACTGGGACTGTGCCTTGCCCTTAGCCTTGACTGTGGGTGCAGGGGGACACCCAAAACCAGCCCCTGTATGCCTGGGGTGCCCAAGCACAGGCAGGGGTGGAGGGGCTGGCACGGCTCTGGGATGAGACCCCTGACTTGGTGACGTGAGTGCTGCTGGAGCAAGAGGCTGGGGAGTGGGACCCTGAGCTCTGCCCCAAGCCAGCACTGGAGCCACCCGGCCCGTGGGGAGGCTGTGACAGCATGGGGGGCTCTGGCTGGCAAGAGGGGGCTCTGGAGGCAGGCAGGTGGGCAGGAAGGTGTGAGTCCCTGCCAGGCATGGGCAGGCACTGGTGGGAGCAGGGGCGGGGAGACCTGGGGCTGCAGCCCCAGCCTGCTGGAGCAGAGGGAAGGAAAGCGGCTGGGGACAAAACACTCCCTTCCTTGCCTTCCTGCCCTGGCCTGGCTCAGCCCAAAGCCATGCCTTTCTCACCCCAAAGCTAAAAAAAAAAATCCCCAAGCTCCAGACTGGCCTGACCTCCCCAACGCCCCCCTGAGCACCCCTCAGAGTAACCCGTTGCTGCTGACCCACTCCCAGGATCTGTGGGGAGTCACATCAGAGCTGCAGCCACAATTCCCACCCACCCCCCCCCGCCCCGCCCCGCCCCCCAAATCCTAGCTAGAGTCTCAGCCTCCCCTGGCTCCATGTTAGTGGAGGTGAGGGGGTGGGAGGGTTTGGGCTATGACCCGTGTCCCCCCTGCAGCATCACGCGTCTTTATTTATTTATCTGCTCTTTATATGTGCCATAGATGGGAGGCATTGTGGGCGCGTGCAGGGTGAGACGGGAGTGGGCAGGGGGGAAAGATGTTCAGTTGGGAGGGGTGATTTTTTTTTTAAAAACAAAATGCAGAAATTATTTAAAGATTATTTTAAAGCACAGTTTTTATGGTGATTGTTGTCTGGGGTGACGTGAGAAAGCGCGAGCGCGGCCGACGGCAGGTGTATTTTTGTCTCTTCACTGGATGTACCTTTCCTGGTCGGGGACACGGCCCAATAAATCCATCGTCTCCCAGGTGGGTGCTCCAGGCTCTGGTGTGGGGAGGGCAGGCAGGGACCAGGGATGCTTCCTGCCCATCACAAACAGGGAAGCCAGGGTTAGAGGCCATCTTGCACTTCTATAGGAGCAAGATTTGGCTACCCCAGTGCCCCCCACCAGCAAGGGCGAGCTCTCCCTCCCAACTCCCCCGTACCCAGGGGAGGTGGGCAGACAGAGGCTGTGGGAGTGACCCAGCCAGCCTACATGGGACCAAGATGTCACTGGGGCCACCTGGAAACTAGGGCAAGCGGGGCAGGATTGTAGGAGGAAGAGCCACCATGGGACTGCCGGGGACACCTTCCCATCCCAGTCTGGGCTCATCACCCCCGTGCCTGGCCATGCTGGGACACCCTTCCTCACCATCTCCATCGCCACAGCACCCACTACCCCAGTGCTCCTGGAGAAGATGGATCTCCTACCCTGTACACTGAGTTTCCAATGTCACAAGCAGTAGTCACTGCTGACTCCATCCCCTCGCCCCTCGCCAGCCCTGTACCCCCTCCACCCCATCCCATGCCAGCAGAAGGCAAGACCACCAGCCAGCACCCCACACAGCCTCCTCCTATCTGTCCCACCCCACGTACCCCTCTGTGAACCCCCTGCCCCATCTCTTGCACTGATCTCCCCGAGGGGGCTGGGAAGAGGGTCCCCCCAGGGTTTTCCCTGGACCCCACAACACGGCGAGTGCGGAGCAATTCGGCAGCAGGCTGTCAGCGAGGGCCCTCATCACTGTGGCTAATTTAAGGGCTCTGCGAGGCGGCTGAGCTAATTTAATTAGGTTCTTATTACAGAGAAGGACAAATTGGTCCCTTGGGGGGGGCATGGGGTCAGGCTTTCGAGAGGCGCTTTATGGAGTGAAATTTCAATCAGGCTGCTGGCGCAGGCATGGCAGGGGGAGCCGGAGGCAGGGGATGCATGAGGAGTGTGCCCTTCGGGGTGCCCTGTGGCACTGTGGGCAGCCCATCTCCAGGCGCAGGTTTTTAGGCTATCAGTGAGTATGGGGGAACAGCTCTTTGTCCCATTAAGATGCTGCTGCGGGGGATTGGTGGGGCTGCTTTGGGGTGGAAGCAAAGAAGCAGGGCTGGCCCCAGGGCAGTGAGAGGAAGGGAGGACACCCATAAATAAGATTCCAGAGTTTTTCTGAAGCCCCATTGACTCCCCCTGGCTTCATAAAGCCTCATGACAAGGATGGTGAGGACAAAATGATATCCAGCTGACAGACAGAACTTATAGGGGTCTTTTTCTTCCCTGGATGTCCCCCTTCTCTTGTCACTCAACCCCAGGAGAGCCAGAGCCACCTGCTTGTGGGCACCTGAAGCTGCCCCACCTCCCAGGGGCCCGTCCCGGGCCGGGGGGTCTCACCAGGGTCCCGGCTGGGTGGTGATGGATGGAGATGCTGGTGGGTGGCCGGCAGAAGGGCCGGGCTGGAGGGTACCACAATAGATGTCTCTCCATCAATTTGTCCTCATTACCATGTGAATGGTGGGTGGGAATGAGAGGAAGGGCATGTGGCGGCTGGAGAAACCCCCCACATGCTCCCATCTGGGGTAGAGTGTCCCCCCCCATCCCTCCAGCCCTGTCTGAGTGTGTTAAACCATCGCCAACAACCCCCTGGCCCCAAATTCAGAGGAGGAGAGGTACCACCCCCTATTCAGAGCCTTGAAAAGGCTACAGGGTCCAGCGCTGTTAACAAGGGGGGACGTTGTCCCCGTCCCCGCCTCTCCCGTCTGTCCCTCACCCCGCAGCCTTCTGCCGTGGCAGCGCCAGCCAGACCCGGTCCCGGCACGCTGGGTGCTGGGGTCCCGGCAAGGGGGGGGCTCGGGGGGGGGCGTCAGGGCTTGGGGAGTGGGAGTAGGGCACCCTGAAAGCATCTCCTGTTTGTGGGGAGCTGCACCTTTGAGCGACGCGGGCAGGAGGCGAGAGCGGGGTGGGGATCCTGTGGGACCCCAAGACCAAACTTTCCCCATGGTGGGGGGGGAGGCAAGGAGGTGGTTTGTTCCCATCGTCCAGGAGCTCTGGGTCCAACCAGGTCACCATGGCCTGGGCTGTGACGGTGATGGGGCATGGATATGTGACACCCCAAAATATCTGAGCCTGGGGGCATGGGTACAGCAGTTTGCAAGGATCCTCCTCCCGGTGAAGGCAGACCAACTCATAGCTCCCTCCCCCCAAAAAAGCCCGGGAGAGGCTGCCCAGCCTGGCTCAGCCCCGCACACTGCCAGCCGGTGTCCGCAGAAGCAGCCCATACCAGCCTCCCACTCTCATTTGCCTGAGCTTAATTTAGCTTAATGGCTTTTCGGAGTGCTGATGCTCTGGGGGCATGGCAGGACCCTGCTCTCTGCAGCACTGGTAGAGGGGGGGGTCCCAGTACCCTGGCCCCACACCCACAGGAGCCCCAGGAGGGTGCATGGTGCGGGCTGCGGAGCCCATCCCGTGCCCCAGATGCCTCTACCACCTCCCCCTATGCCCCGAGCCCCCCACCTCCTGCCCCTCTTTCAACCGTGGCACCCGTGTGGGGACAGCATTGGGGGCCCCCCCTCCATTACAGGGGCTGCCTGCCCACTCCCCAAGGCCCCTCTGCCTGCACTTGGCAGTTCTCCCTGGGCAGGGATGGAGGTGCTTTAGCAGGCAGCAGCCTCCGGGAGTCACACCACAGACACGGACAGACAGACACACATATCCACCCTCTACACACACCTTTATCCCCTGGACAGACACACGCCCGCCACCTCACTGGTGGGGCTTGGACACCTCCTGGCTCTCAGTATCTCCATCCAGTCCCCCAAATTACTCTTTCCAGTCTGGATACTTTCTATCCCCAGCAGGACCCACCCAGCACCCACTACAGGGGCAGGCAGAGCTGGGGGTGATGCTGGTGGTCCCCCCACCCTCCGTACAAGGGAGGGGCAGGCAGGGGCGGCTGGGGACCATGTGGGGGGCTCTGGCAGCAGGCATAAGCCGTTACCTCGTACTGTCCCAGTATGAGATGGGGGGGTCCCAGTGCCATGGGAGCAGCCAGCAGGATATGGCCCCAGGGGAAACCCTGCAGCCGTCTGGCACTGACCTTCCACGGGTGGCTCTGGGGTGCCCCGGGTGTCGGGACAGGAGGTGTGTGAGTATGCGCCCATGTGCAGGGGATGAGTAAGAATCTAATCAGGGTCCTTTTCTTTAATAAATCATTCGTCTTAATCCAATGCCCTCCTTCCTGCTCTAATAACTCCCCGGTGCTGGGCCCCACAGCCACAACAATGCGGCTAATGGAACGATTTATTTTCATAATGGTGCTGGTGGGGAGAAGGGGTGGCCGGGGTGGGGGCAGCACGCTCTGGGGCAGGAGTTTCTAATTAGTGAATGAAATTTGATGTAAGGCTGGAGGAAGATGGATTCGCTGCTTGACAAGGGGCCTTTCAGCTCATCAAAGCGCCCGAACAGGGAGGTAAATTAAATTATTTCTAATTCTTCACTAACCTCCAGGGAGTCACCCTTCCACCAGCAAAAGGTGGGTCCGTTCCTGCAATGAAGAGGCGCCTGAAGGACTGAGGATAAGTGGAAGAGACCGAGTTCTGTGAAGGGATGAGGATGACAAGATGGGATGGGGTGGGGTGGGATGGCGGAGCAAGACAGCCTGACACTGACTTTGCTGAAAGAAGGGAGAGGAAAAAGCTGCTGATGAAAGAAAGAGTTGCAAATGATCAATAAATAAACAAGTCCAGGAACTAGTGACTAGTTTGCATCAAGTTTTCCTTCCATGCCTGTTGCCTAACCAGACCTGGGCTGAAATACAGCTGGTGCTGGGGTAGAACAGAGCAGCCTGGCATCGAGGAAACAACATCCCAACCCTCAGGGGGTTTGAGCAGGGACAGCATTTGGTTCTGAAGGGGTGACTGATGCTGAAGCAGGCAAAGGGTCCAGTGCAGGGCAATGCTTCAGCAACGACCCTTGTTCTCATGGCACTCTGCAATTTGAGGCCAATGACAGTGATGTTAATGCTTGTGGTGCAAAAGCTGTTCTTGGGATGCACAGAGTTTTCTTCTAAATCCCCAGATACTGGAGTCCTGTGATGGAGACTTAGTTTTTTACAGAGAATAAGCACACTCCCTCCTAGCAGCCCTGCTTGCAGAGGGACTTTGCAGTGCCAACCTGACACTAGCCCAGACGTCCCCAATACCAGTGTGAAAAGAAAAAGGCTTGGTGCTGCAGCTGAAACCAGCCGTTGGCTCTCCCTGGAGTAGGAAGCATTACAAGCTGCCCCAAAATCACCCGAGGCTGTTCCACAGCTCCCCTCCCTGTGGGGCCAAGGAAGCCCATACAGGGACAGCAGACAGGTTCCCAGGGGACTTTCCGTAGGAATCCATGGACTGAGTTTCCCACGAGGTCTCCTGCTCTCCTAACCACGCTCAGCACTGCTGAGCGGCCGCAGTCGCTGCACAGCCCAGGGAGGCAAATAGGGGGAATAGGGGAGTCGTGTCTCATTGCACAGGGTGTGTGTCGGGGGGGGGGTGGGCTGGGGCCCTGCAGCAGTGCTGGGGGCTTGCTGCAGGCTGGGGAGCACCGTTCCCTCCCCACGGCTGAGCTAGGTGGAGCTGGGGCAGGCGCAGAGCCTGCTGTGCTGACCCAACACTCCAGGAATTTAATTTGTTTAATATATTCCCTGGGAAAGAAGAAAATAAATAAGTGGCACCTTGCGTGCCCCCATGTCTCACTCTCGCAATGGAGGTGTCAGCTTAACGAGCCGAAGCCCTCAGCCTGATTAACCAGCCGCTGCTCCCGCTAATAGGGAGCCAGGGAGCAGTGTGATTGATGTACAGAGAGCATTAGCCCCCGCAGCCTGGCGCTGGAGGGGGCACCGTGCCTACCCCAAGCCCCCTTGCTCCTGCCCTCCATACCCAGGCCCAGGTCAAGGGCAAGTCAAGGGCTCCCTCTTGCCCTGGAGCGGATCATCCTGCCCCACCGCTCTGTGGTGTAGGCAGTGCTCG